TGCATTTTATCATGCAAAAATAGAGCCTAGTCGTCACATATCACATTACTACCATAAAAGTTCATTCCTAGCGAGCTATGAGACAAAATTTCAACCTGTGAGGGGAAAAAGATTTTGGAACTTTGAGAATTCCCAACCCATGCACCCCCCACAAGTGCGTAAGTTACCTGGAAGACCAACATTGAAACGAATAAGAATCGAAGAAGCAGCCAGGAGGAAAAAGAAAGGGATTGCTCAACAAAAAGCTACACAAGAGCAAGCTAAAACATCTACCCCAACAATTGAAAGGTTGCGGAGGTCAGGTGGTAGATGTAGTATATGTAGGCAAGAGGGTCACAACAAGTCTACATGCAAGGATGTAAAGATCTCATTTGTTTTCTATTTTTTTATTTTTACCTATCTAGTAACAAAACTTTGCAATGCATAATGTTTGATTTATTTTCTTTACAGCGTCCTCCATCAACAAGTACAAATACAACAACAACAAAAAGAGGAAAACCTAAGAAGGATACTAGCCAGCAGAGTCAAGCTACTCAAGAAGCACACTCACAAGAAATCAGACAAAAGCTTCCAATAAAAAGTTCCCACAAGAATAGAGTTGAGTGTGGTATGGGGATTACATTTGAGTTAGACACTGGAAGGGTTGTGTACAATGTACGTTTTTTTTTTGTTTTTATCTAAATTGTCCTTAATTATTATTATTAGTTATGGAAGTTTGCCCGTTTTTATTAGTTGACTGTGGCATGGGGATTAATTTTTTTTTTTTGTTCTTATGCAAGCTTGCCCGTTATTATTATTATTGTTCTTCTTGGCCTCAACAGCAACTTCATTTGACCGTGGTCTATCAGCTTCTCTAGCATCTGACTATTGTTATTTTCATTTGTCCAGCCTGGAATGCAAGGTGAACTTGTATTGGAGGAAGGGAATGCTCAAAATGACATGGATCATAATGTTGATCCCCAAATACGGTTTCCTATTCCAAATGAAAGGGACTTAAGGAGGAGCAGCGTCCAAACATCAAATGCTGGAGAGAGGAGGATTGAATTCATCGGTGATGGGGCTACTGTCTCAAATCCAAGTAACCTACCAATCGATCCACCAGGTTTGACATGGATGGGTCAACCATGCCTTACTTCTTCACAACTGGAAGCACAACGAACAAGAATGATTGCTAACCTAAAGGCTAAGTCAAGAGAAGATGGCATATAGACCATATTGTGTCAAATATTTTGATCTGATATATATATTTTGTGCTGACCGACGTGCAAGATCTGATATATATATATATATGTTGTTTGAACAATGTTCAAGACTTGTTTGCACTGGAACAATGCACAGGACCTGAGAATCATGTGTCCTTCTATTTTGGTGTAATGTATATTATTTGAACAATGTTCAAGATTGTAAATTCTGGAACAACGTGTAAGACCATCTTGTGAACATTTTAGTATAATATTTTGGTTTAATATATATTTTTCGTCCAACAGAGGGCTCTTTTCCGTGCTGCTCTTTTTGTAAATGGAGCACTTTTGTTCACATATTGAATCAGGCATTCTTTGGCATCTAACTTACAGGTGCAGTCAAGTATACATGCTATATTTCTTATGACTAAAACATTGGATACATATTCTTGAATATATTCTTGAATATGTTCTTGAATATATATTAGAGAAATGGTCTTCTCGAAAGAACTGGTCTTCTTAATACATGCTATCCTTTGGTAACACCATTCTAACTCAAAGCTTATTTTCAACTATATTCTTGAATATATTCTTGAATATGTTCTTGAATATATATTAGAGAAATGGTCTTCTCGAATACGTATTTGAGAACTGGTCTTCTTGAATACATGCTATCCTTTGGTAACACCATTCTAACTCAAAGCTTATTTTCAACTATATTCTTGAATATATTCTTGAATATGTTCTTGAATATATAGTAGAGAAATGGTCTTCTCGAATACGTATTTGAGAACTGATCTTCTTGAATACATGCTATCCTTTGGTAACACCATTCTAATTCAAAGCTTATTTTCAACTATATTCTTGAATATGTTCTTGAATATATATTAGAGAAATGGTCTTCTCGAATACGTATTTGAGAACTGGTCTTCTTGAATACATATTCGAGAACTGATCTTTGGTCTTCTCTGCTCTGTCCTCTTCTCAGACTTCACATGCACCCCACCTCGCTTTGCTTTGCCCTAGCTCTCAAACCCTCCAATCCCTTTTGTTTTCAAATCCTTTCTGGTGCTCCCTGCTATGCGTTTTATGTTTTACCTTTATTTCTTTTCTTTTTTTAAATATTTACATATCAAAACACAACCAACATTTTTTCCACATCACCTTGTCCAGTCATCAGGCCATATAAGCAAAATAAACACTGTTAGTGACAGCTCAGCATTTCTAACACTGTTATTTTGGGGTTCAGGTCCTTCTTAAACTACAGGGACTAACGTTTGAGACAGGAGAAAATTACAGGGACCAAAACCTGTGATTTCAAACTATAGGGACCAAAACCAAAATGAGATGAAACTATAGGGACCAAAGATTATATTAACCCTATGTCTAAAAAAACTTGCTTTTCCTCGTGAATAATCAATTTTTGATCGAAGAGTAAAACGTGACTCTGAGATAAAAGCGCAATTAAGAACGCCATCTTGTGAACATTTTGGTATATTATTTTGGTTTAATATATATTTTGATTTGATATATAAATATTTAATATATAAATATATATAATTTTTACAAGCTTCAACAAAACTTTACTACATCAAAAATCAAATACCCAGAGTTAGTTAATATTATTACGTCAGAAAATGACATAAAAATAAAATACTAAAACATTGTTGAGAAAAATGAATATCTGATTCATTTATCTCTTACATTGTTGAGAAAAATGACACAGTGTGAGGAGGAGAATATGGCAGCAACTGAGGACACAGATGGCACGATTACTTTCTCATTTAACTGACATCAGAGATTCCCATATCTATATTAAACTTCAACACATAAAGAAGGTTCAGTCTTTTTGGTCTTATATCACAAATCCACATCTACATCAACACTTTCTCAAAAACTAAAAAACAAATAAAACAAAGCCATGACAGCCACAAAGCAAATTGGAGTACATTCATTTTCTTCTTCCCATTTTCAGCTGCAATTTCAAACTTAGCTTGCCTTCTCGCCATCTTTGTCAGTTCTTGATATGTAAGACCCACCTCTGCTCCTAATCGTTCACCCTCGACTCTTCTTTTCACCCTCAAATTCTCATCATATAATGAATCTATATGATTCAATAGCTCAGTTATCACTTCAACATATCTCTGACCCATTTCATTATCATGCCAACTAAAATAGCCGCAGCCTCCTCCCTGTCAAGTTCAACCATCCAAACAAGCAATTCCTTCAGTCTGTCTTTCATGTTTGCTTTTGAAGCTAATGAATTTGATAAGTTCCACGTCAATAATAATTATAATTTTCAAACAAACATACAAGCATGTCAACATTCAACATAAATATATTCGGCAACCGCAAACCCCTCTACTACCAAATGCACAAGCATCAACCAATTTCTAGATCAACTTACTATCAATTTAACTTACTTGGTTGTATTTTCGGCACCTGTAAAACCTTCTGCCAGGGTTCTTCTCACTCCATGCTGTCCATCGAGGAGCTACTGTACCACAAAAACAGAACCTTCGACGCCCTTCATACTCGGTCTCTATTCCAACTTGTCTGACCAAACCAATCCTTATTTTGCTCGTCACCGTCGAATCTGAGTTTGATTCACCCATCACATATTCAAATGGAGAAGGGAGGCACAATTAGATGAGCAATGTTTCTCAGATTTCAACGGGTGAGGCCACTGAATCCGATTTGCTGAAGATGATTAGGTCAGAGAAGAAAATTTCACACCACAGGGATTACGATTTGCTGAAGACGAAACATGGAGAAGAAAAGCCCACTTTCATTTTCCAGCCAAATGCCAGTACAAAAGAGCGTGTAGGAACCGATCCCCCTCGATTTCGATATCACTACAACCTTCACAATCTTTTTCAGTATCACATAGTTAATCGGCCAAGAAAGAAGAAACCCTAATGAAGTTTTCCGTCTGCCGCTACTTTCTTTCCTCTGTTCAGTAAATGCTGGAAATTTTATGGGACTAACAAGTTTTTTCCAGAGATAATATTGAGAGAAAACAGAGGAATTAAAAACAAAAGCCACGTCACCCGCTTAGGAGGCATGCCACGTCAGATTTTTGGGGTCAAATTTCTGCTGACTCATCAGTTTCACGGTCAACGTAACAGCTCTGTTAGGGTGGGATACCAGTACACCAATTTAATTACTTTGAGGGTAAATTTGCACCACAAATTACTTCAGGCCACTGGGTACACTTGGCTAAATATATGGCTAAATATATGGGGGTGCTGGGTGCACCTTAACCCCTAATTTTACTATATAGTTTATTTAGACTGAAGTAACTTGGAGAGGACCGCTTCACGTTGTACTTGACTGGATCAAACCACCAGCTTTTTTGCACACCCTACGGGGAACATGGATGGGAGAGAAGAGGCGGGGGTCGGGAATCCACGGATGAGCAAATCTTCCTCCCCCACTTTGTCCGTGATGTCCCTTCCATTTCAAACTGCGTTGAGTACCTCTTGCATAAAACACCAACAACATTCATCTCGGTAGCTGGTATGTATTTCTTCCTCCATCTTCTTTTCACTATTTCTTCTTCTCTTTTTGGTCTCTCAGATCTCTTCCCCTTCATCTGCAAGGTCAATATCTGTTTCCTTCCCCCTTCAAGTTCAAACTCAGGGGCTCCAAACAACCTTTTTGTTCTTCCGATTCTATGACCTTCTCTTTGATGGATTTATTAGCAGCTGTGTATGGCGACCCATTCTCTTCCCTTTGCTTTCCTCTTTTTCTCGGCCTCTTTCCTGCTTTCTCTTTTCATTTTTTATACAAGATTTATTTATTGGGTCTGGTTCTTTGCTCATACTTTTGATTTTGTCTTTTTTCTTTTTTGGGCATGTCTTATTGGGGTTCTATGTTGGCTGACTTGGTGATGGTGATGGCACGCCGGTGAAGAAGATGCCAATGAAGAGATTATTCGGCCTAAGAATTTTTGCAGACAATATGGGGTAATAATGATCATTTATTCAGTACAGTTGTGGAAAAAAATTGAGTCTGGGTGATGAAGTAAAAAGGTTTAGTTATATTATTTGATATTTGGTAAAGTAAGTTATATTGTTGAGTTGTTGGTGTTTTAAGTAATAGTCGTCTGGAATTTTGAAATTATGTAAGTGATAGGCTCTTATATGAACTTCAGATTATATTGAGATATTAAAGTCAAATATTAGAGTTAGACGAAGGCCGGCTTGGGAAAGAGTCGATCATCTTTCTCATGACGAGAGAAGGGAAAAACTGAATTTGAGTGATGAAGTTATGTGATTTTGCACAACTGTTTAGATGAAATAAGTAATGATATTGGTTTAATTGGTGAGTTATATGCTCCGCAGAGGATTTACATCATGAGGCACATTGTGGTGAGAATAATATGGTATGCTGCAATATTGACATTTACTTATAGCCAATTGAGTCATAAGAAATTAATACAATTTAAAGTTTGGTATTTTCATATGTTAGAGACAACAAAATCATTTTTATGGACCTGCTGGACGGTGATCTTTCATTGAACACTATAGTGATAAGACACAAAGACTGACTCATAAGATCCGACGTATATCGTTGGGATTGCCTACATGCGACATCCTTTTTCATGGAGGCCATGCTTAGAACTTATCAGCCAGCTCAAAAGCAAATACACAATCTGCCTGAGTACGAAGGTAGTAGCAGAGGAGGAAGACTGCAGTTGTCCTATGTTATTGTCGAAGGGATGTCTATCATTCAGTTCTCCACTACCTGAATCAGGTAAAAGTTTTATTACAAAAATAAGGATCCATCATAAGGCTTCTCATGTAAATATGTTTTTGTATAAGAATACACTTTAGAGTTGTACTTAAAACAAAATTGCTCTGGGTTATATTACACAGTAGATTAAACTCAATACTACAGCTCATGGGATTTTAGTTTTCTGTGAGTTGAACTTGAAGCTGTACAGCATTTATTTAATTCACGTGGTTTGCTCAGGTTAAAAAAATTCATGTGGTTTGCATATACAAGTTTTCTTGGACTTTTCCTGAAGCATAACAGATTTGAAGCAGAGATGCTTTGAATAGAAAATTTCATATTCACTTGATTTTATATTCTTATTATTGCTGCCATTTTTTTGGCCACAGAATGAGCATGCTAAAAGAACTCATTACTATCATGGTTGAAGACACTGCTGTTTTGACTATAGGTGTTGACCATGTGCAACTATCAATCGCAATTAGCTGCTGCAATACACTATATTTAGCATATTATCAGGAAAGTTAATTTTGCATGTTACAAAAGTTAATCTTTTTCTCTTGTACATGTTAGAAGTTCGCTGGATCAGTCTCAGATTTAATGGCATTCTCTAATGAGATTCATTGGCTATAGCTCAACATCTCTACACAGGTGGTTTTCCTTCTTTCCTACTAATTCAATTATGTTGGTGTGATAAGCTGAAAGCGTCTTACTCCATCTCGTTTTTGTTTGGTGGGTGTTAATATTTAGGTCATATTATTTGACGAGAAAGTTTGTTCTTCCATTTCTGTTACATGGGTGGTTACTTGCTTTTAGAGTTTATTTTGGCTTCAATCAATTAAATTTCTTGTTCTTCATGTAAATAGTAATACCATCCATTAAATTATATGGAAGACAAGTAACTGATACTCGCACTTGATATTATGGGGACATTAAGATTAAGAACAAGCAAATATGCTATCACTTTGAAGAATTCTATGAACCTTACAAATCAATGGCATTGAGGTATCTGGTCCTTTACTATTTGATGATTCAATTTGAATATTTCTTTTACTGGGCTCCATTATTTGTCAGAGACATTGATTGGTGTTCTCATATCTATCTGTGCACAATTATTATTTTCAGTTTTGATTTGTTCTCAATGATATTATTCACAGATATTAAGAATTAATTTATACGGATGATCTTATCATCAATGAGGTGTGATAATTATAGTCATGTCTACATGTGTGGTTGTTGGTAATGCTTCCTTGGCTTTCTTATGTGTTTCATAAAAGTTGTTCCGGCACATACCTATTTATTGGTACCTGCTGTTTACTAAGCAGCTTTAACATTAAATGAGTCCCAAAAATTTGATGGTTCTTACAGTGGTCAAAATGGTTCATAAGTGAAGTGGATTTCATGTGAGCAACATGCATAAGTTACGAGCATGGTAGACTTTACTTGGTGGGCTGATCTTACAGAGAATTCGTCTGACAAATTTATGATTTTGTAGCTTAAGTTTATCATTTTGGTGGGTTATTTTTGACAAAACATGGTTAGATTCAGTGTAAATTTGGTGTTGTATTTTTATTTCATGCTTCTATTTTCTTAAAGTTGATCCCGCAGGGAATATGCACGTGTCCAAGTTTAGTTCGTTCCTTATTTTTCATCAAAGTAGAGGGATGGTTGACCATGAAGGTACGGTGTGCAGGCTGGAGCTAATTTGGAGTCATTGAAGATATGTCATTCTAAAGCGCAAAAAACATTAGCAGCATTAATTTACAGGTTCAAAATTTTATTTTATTTTAATTATTCTGATATTTTTATTTATAAATATGTAAAACAGAAAAATAAATTTTATGATTTTTTCCAATGAAGGTTTCAACCTGAAATTTTAAAAGAAAACGTTTAGGTTTTGACTTTCTAAATTAAATCTACAACGTCAAGAGATCCCACAAAGATGGTGCTTGTTTATGGATATGTTGTGGTTGCAACAATCGTCACGGCCATTAAAGGCCTCCCTCTGTTGGACTGGCCTTTGAAAGTCCGAAACTACACTCCCCCCCCCCCCCCAAAAGGGCGGCCCAAAAAAAAGAATAAGTTGAAGGAAAAGACTTAAACTTCAATATGCAACTGTTGCAATAAAAATTATTTTTTCTAAGGTTAATTCAAACACACTCAAAGCCAAACATATTTTTTTAATAAAAAATTATATCTAAACCTAAACCACATTACTCAAACTTCAATTTGTAAAAGTCAGTTAAATAAAAATAATTTTTACTAACATTAATTCAAACAAGTTTTTTTTGTTTTTCGGGGACAAACAATCCAAACAAGTTGAAGCTTCATTAGCATTAACATATTTTGCTTTAACCAACTGCCCATTAGTTAAAGTGGGGGAAATTATAGACAATTATCGTAAAAGAAAATTAATTAAGAAAATTAATCACTAATAGGTCTTATTAAATTAAGTTATTACTAATAATTAGTACAGAACCCGCACAATGTGCAGGTGTGAATAAGATAACATTCATGGGGCAACGAGAAATAAGCTAAGAATTAAACTTAAGATATACACACGTATGCATATTACAAAAGTAGCTAAAAAAAATGCATATGCGACATATGGGTGCGAATGGAATGTCCTTTTTTGCAGCATATGAAATATATAAATTTTTTCCAAAAATATTTTTGTGGACTATGTAGTTTTCCCAAATAATAAAGGCCATTTGGTCTAATTTGATTGAATTAAAATTATATTTAAATATATAAATTTAAGTATCAAAGCTTTCTCCAATATTTTACTTGGACTCATTCATTAAACGAATGAATTTAAACAATACCATGGATTATTGATTTAAAAGGATCAAGCTATGCAAGGTCCCAAGTGCTCTGAACTAATAATAACTTGTAAGATGATGCATGAATTTGTAAATATGTTAACATTCATGCATTCAATATTATTTTTTTTTAAGTGTTAAAACATGCCAATAAATCATTATGAATGCGGGAAATAACAATTTTAACCTGATTCAACTACAAATCATTAGATAACAATCAGGAACAAAATATGTGTTAAAAAGGGTAATAGTGTTATTAGCTAACTGAAATAGACTCTATATAAAAGGGTTTAATGTGATGTTGCAGTGGGCATAGAATGTGTTATCCTCACCAATAAGTGTTAAAACTTGGGCCTCTCTCCTTAATTCCAATAGTCTTGGGTTGTTGATTAATCTCTTAAGTGAGAGATTTGGTTAATCTTAAGAAGATTATTGTATCTTGTTGATCATTAACGACACTTCGAACTTTTTATCCTTGCTTCTTTACATGGTATCCCGCCCAGGTCCTCTCTGGGCCACAAATACTGAAGCCCATGAAAATGATTCTTGAATTCTCACCATAGTTCAGATCTTGAAGCACCACCCAGTTCAATCGCAACGACGTCGTTGCTGTGTTTGGAAGATTGGGAGTCTTTGTCCTTCGGTTCACCATCTCTCCGACCGGCGACCACGATCATCTCTGCCCTAATCGCCTCCCACATTCAATCGTCAGTAAATATCCGTGTCAGGGGGGATGGATCATGGTTGAAGCATTCGGTAGACCAAGGTGTTCAAGACTCCGGCGTTTCTCTACCCTATGGTTCTTGATCTTCTGAATCGATGCTTGCGTCACAATTACAAGTATTTTTTGCATGTCACTCTCTTTGCCGTCAACCACTTGACTTTGCCACTGCAAGATCTGCCTTTCACGTCTCTGCTATTCCATTCATCTTCACCGCAGCTATAGAGCGACAAGGATATTGAAGAAAGAAAAGGAGAAGCATAAGTCCTTTCGCAAAGCTTGATTATTGCCGATCTAAATAGAGGTTCTATCTGTGTGCCAACTTCTGCCCATTTTTCCTACTATGCTTGCCGTGGAAGAGTTATCAGATTCTCGTGGTTAGTGCCAGGACATGATTGGATGATGGGCTGTGAAATTCTTGATTGAATTCAGGTCGTTCACAATATTGTTCTTCCCTGTTCGCTTAATGGTTTCCTGATTGTGTTTCTTCACTTGCTAGCAACAGTTACATAAGCTAGATCAATTTTTTGGTACAAGAGTTGTCATTCTGCAACAGCAGATTCAGATTATGAGAATTCGCCTAGATGAAATCACAATGTTTTTCAGTTTTATCTTCATGTACGGATTCACAAGCACTTGAGTTGGGGAAGGGGATAGAATATGTTTTTGCATTTGGAGAAGATAATAGAAACAGCAGCAACCCTTGACGATGTTACTTTCATTAGACTGCTTTCAACTTGTTGCTCATTTAAATAGAGGTGCACAGTTGATCTGTTCTAAATTTTCACTTGGAGTATTATAGATTTCAAGAAGTAAATGTTATTTCAACGCCCCTCCATTTATTTATGTTGTTGGGGCTTGATGAAGCCAAATGTGATGGGAGGTCATGTAGCTAGTACTTCTAGTAGTTCCAAAAGTTCAAGTAACGATTCCTCTTCTTCAGGTGATTCTGTAGCAAAGAATGGGCACTTGTATGAGCAAGGCTCTTAAGACACATGATGATCAAGATGGATATGGGGTGGCGGATTGAGAATTGAACCCTGCATGATAATTATATACTTGAGGAGGTGAAGATTGAAATAGAAGAAGGCTGCAGCTTGTTTTAGTCCACCATGGAACATGCAGATTCTTGGGATCCCACAGAGGACATCATCGAGAAGAGAAGTTTGGTGATTCCACGGTCAAATGTAGGTCAGGGGCAGCACGAGGAGGACATGGAGGTGATTACGTGCTGTTAATTCAAGGGCACGTGTTATATTGCGTTCTCCTCACCTATCAAATTCAATTTGAGATCTTCATAATTTGTTTGGCGGACCCACATAAAAAGACAGGGATAGGAGGAGTAATTGATTGAAGCTGTGGATGCTCTCATATACCCAAGGCTGCATCATGATCATATAGAAGCCGAGTTGATGAAGATGAGTACAGTAATTGTCATTCCCTTTGTAATTGGTTTGAAAGTCAAAGAGAAAGATGTCTTCATGCAAGTTTTGTTCATGAGTTTAAAATCATTGTAGTTTTAATTCTCCTGGCCTCCTTGGTTTGTGTTGTCAAGTTGATCACTTTAGTTAACAGGTGTTCAACTTGAGAGGACATGTTAGAAAAGGTAATAGTGTCATTAGCTAATTAAAATAGGCTCTGTATAAAGGGATTTAATGTGATGTTGTAATAGGTGTAGGATGTGTCATCCTCACTAATGAGAGGGAGGATAAATTGGGTCTCCCTCCTTAAATGGTTTTCGGGTTGTTAGTTAATCTCTCAAGTGAGGGATTTGGTTAACCCTAAGAGGGTTGTTGTATCTTATTGATCATTAATGACACTTCATACTCTTTATACTCGTTTCTTTACAATCTGCACATAGAAATAAAGGAAGCAATACTAAGAAAACATAACTTGAGTAATTACAAATAGTTTATTTAGAATGCCTCATGGTAGGCCTTTTTCACTCTAAAGCAAAGAGAAAAAAATCGGACCGGACTGAACCGATTGGATCAACTAGAAAATTGATGGACCGGTCTGAGGTTCGGTTCTGTTTAGCTTAAAAACCGGCCCTTAATCAACCTAGCATGACTCGGAATGAACTAGAAAAAACCGGTAAAAACTGGGCAAACTGCTGGTTTGACTGGGCTTGTCGGTTTTTTCCCCCCTTCTTTCTTGCTCTCACCTTTTGCTAGGCGCCTCACCGTTCACAGAGACGATGAATAATACAGAGACAAGTGGTAAATAGAGTAGATCACAAAGGTGGAGGAAGATAGAACTTTGTTTGCGCCACTTTGAAGCATACCCACAAAAAACCAGAAGACAAGCAAAAATATAATAGAGGGAGTAGGATGGATGGATGGATGAAGTGTATAGAGAAAAAATGGTGCTAGAGTTTGTTGTTTCTCCGTTTGAGAAAAAAAGAGAAGTGAAGAAGGCAGAAGCAATTTGAGAGGGAAGGGAAAATGATAATGCATGCTCAATGAGGCAAGACTTACAGCTGATAGCCTATTCTACTGCTTGTTCACTGTCCAAGGCAAAAAGAAGAAAGAAAAACTGCTTTGTGATGGGCGATATAGGGAAGAAAATGAAAAAAAAGAGGAGTGCACGTGGGAGAGAGAAGAAAGAGGAAGAGAAAAGAAATGGTAAAAAAATTTTAAAAAGAAAAAGGAAGATCCCATTCGGTAATAAGAAAGAACAAAGAAAAAAATAAAAAAGGGAAATAAAAATCATTTATATACATAAATATTTTGTAACACGATTACCTATTTAAAAATTAAATATTATTTTTTATAATTAGAATATGAATATTTTAATCAATTTTAACTAAATTATATTATTTTAATTATTACTGGTCTAACTTTGGTTTGATCCCGATCTGACCCACTAACCCTTAAACCAATATCTCAACTGGTTTAATATCCGGTTTGGTTTTTTGTTTCTTGCTCTAAAGTTCTTGAAGATGTGACTTCATTTGCTCTAACCTCTTCACCGTTAACTTCCTATTTTCTTTGATTTGGTGCTCCTTCTTTGATCTCAACTCCTCTAAGATAGGTCTAATTATAGCTATTTGCACCCAGCTCACATTCTCAAGAAACTGCATTGCACAAGGTGTTTTTATAATTCAACATAAAATAACTTTAAATAGTAAGTCCTATATTAATTCATAATGCATGAGAATTATAAAAATACAGCACTTCAACTAAAAAATTTGAAGCCAAATGTGACTAATAATAGTCGAAAGGGTTAGATTATTTGAATTAAAACTGTTATGGAATTTTATTTACTAATTAAAGTAAGTCACAGTATCCTGTAAAATAAAATTTTTAAAGTAAGTAATAAATCATGGAGCAATTTAATTCGAAGTTGTAGCAGTTTCATTCGTCTCTCCAACATTTTTAAAATAAGTAATGGT